CTTCTCTCCTGTGTCCTCTCAACCAGCCTCCATTAAGAGTGTTTTGTACAGTGAGAGGTCTCTGCCTGAAGTGTTCTTCATTTGTCAGCTCAAGGTTCAAACACAATCACGCATGGCCCCAAGGGACCTGGCAGGGACACTTTCTTAGCATTTAAGTCCAAACCTCCTTTTTTCTGGCTAATGAAGATTTCGAAAATTAGCATGTTACTTAAATAATTCACAGGTTTCTTATTTATCGTCAAAATCCTTTGGGAATTATTGATCAATTAATTTGTTGACTATCTTATGAACTTAAATCTCTTTTAACCTCAGAGTCGTGTTTCAAATTGCATTCTAGAGCTTGGATTCAGATTCTGGTCCCATAATCAGTCTCCTGAGACAAACTACTATTTCTCATCCCTCATTGTAGGAAAATTTGCCCGTGGCAACTGGAGAAATTCCTGGGAAATTTCTCTTATCACCCAATCCAAGCAAATGCAACGGACTGGCTTTTCCGCAGGGCTGAAGTCACCTCCCGGCGGTAAATTCGGTGTTAGGCTCTGAGCCAGATCCCGGAGGTGAAGCCCGAGGCCAGGCAAGGAGCGAGAAGTTGGAGACTTCAGTTTTTATCTTCTGTGGCTCACGGCTCACGGAGGCAGCAGATGTTTCTTGGCTCCCTGGCAAACTTTCCCACCGCGTGGGTCTGCTAATAAGCCCTGCCTCCCGGGCCTGACCAATCAGCTTAGCCCATCCCCTTAGCAACAGTGACGGCTCCCAGGGGCGGGCCTACGATCCCAGAAGAGCCAATCAGAGCCCTTCCTGGGACTGACGTCCCGAAACCAGGGAAATTGCTGTTGTTTAAGCCTGGAGAGCAAGAGCACTGGACCAGAAAGGTGGAGGCCTGGCTTCCCCTGGCGGTCCTCCGGCTCCTCAAATTCTGACGTGCTCTCAGAGTGAAGAGCTGCAGTCACACCATCAGATGTTGTGCCGTAGCAAGCACACTCTTAGTTCAAGGAGACCCGCCAAGTGATTTTCAAAACCCAGTGGAACTGGATGAAATTATGCCCGGGACAACCCTCTCTCCCCTCCCCAGTCTTTAGGGTAGGCCATTCTGCTTCCTGGTCTACTCATAACTCAGCTAGATCATTCTCCTGCGTTGATACAGAATCTAAGAACATCCAGGCCATTGGAGATTTTAGAATCTAAGTTCCATGAGACCAAGGAGTCTTGTTTATTTTGTGCATCGCCATACTCCAGCATTAGAACAGTGTGCAGGCATCAATAAAATACTCGGTGGAATAAACCTTGACGGCTCAAAGGTTCAACGACTAGCCCAGAGTTGCCCCAAGCACGTCACATTTGAGCCTAGGTCTCAGTGACAGAGAAAGGGAATAGTGACCGTAATTCCTACCAGCCAAGTGCCATTACCAAAAAGTCTGCACGCTATTTCATTTAATTCACACCACACCCGGGTACCCCCATCATCCCCATTGTCCAGGTGAAGCTCATCCATCAGGTCAGAGATGAGGATGATCCATCCATCCCTTCATCTGGCGAACAGTGCCTGGGCACCTGGTACTTCCCAGCAGCATGCCCAGCGCTGGGGAACCACGTGGTGAAGAGAATGCATGGGAGTGGGGCGGAGGTTCAGTTAGCAGGCAGAACGCCAGCAGTGGATTTGCCATTTGGGAGGCCTGCTACGGGGGAAATCAATCGAGAGGAGTGACGGAGGGAAGGGGACAGAGGGAGAAATCTCCTTTAGGTACAGTGGTCAGAAAATGGCTCTTTAAGGAGGGCACATGCTGACTGAGGCCTGCGGAGAAGGTGCCCCCGGTGACAGAGACGTTCACGAAGGACAGCCAGAGCAAAGGCATAAGGCACAGCAGGGCACAGCAAGGTGAAAGGCTAGGAAGTGTGGCAAGGGGGTACACGATGAGTCTGAAGGGGTAAGCAGAGGTCAGATCTCTTTCCCCAAGAGAGAGATATATATTTATATATAATTATATTACATCATTGATTATGTAGTTCATGTGAATTAATAACTATAGACCAATTATTAAAAGCTATGTTTATATAACTATATAATATTAAGTAATGATTATTATACTAATTATTTAATTATATATAACTTACCTCTATAATACATATTACATAACAAGACACATATATAATACATATTTATAATACAAATTATGAAAATTATACAAAATATATTTATGTGAATGCACATCGATAAAATGTATATGCAATATGCACAAATTAACATATAAAATTACTGTGTGTAAGTTAGATATTATCTATAAAATATATAAATAACATTTAATGGAAGTATATAATACATTTTTAAATTAAAGAATTAATGAAGTAATGAAGTAAATAAATTTTTTCTTGGGTGAAGGGATATGTTATACATATATATGATCATTAAGTTATGTATTTGAGAGATAAGAGTCAAGCATTTTAAAAAGATTGATTTTGGGGCGCCTGGGTGGCTCAGTCGGTTAAGCGTCCGACTTTCGCTCAGGTCATGATCTCGCGGTTCGTGGGTTGGAGCCCCGCGTCGGGCTCTGTGCTGCCTGCCAGCTCAGAGCCTGGAGCCTGTTTCAGTCTGTGACTCCCTCTCTCTCTGACCCTCCCCTGCTCACGCTCTCTCTCTCTCTCTCCTAGAAATAAATAAAACATTTGGAAAAAAAAACAAAAAACAGAAAGATCACCCTTGTGACACTGGCTTAAATCATAATTTTGCCCCAGACATACCCTACTAGAAGCAGTTCTTGCACTTTAGGTGCATCAATCAGATTTCCCTGGAGGGCTTGTTAAAACACAGATTCCTGGGCCCTACCCCCAGAGTTTATGATTATGCAGGACTTGATAGGGCCTGAGAATTCACTTTTTTAAAATTATTTTTGAAAAAGACAGAGTACAAACAGGAGAAGGTCAGCGAGAGAGGGAGACAGAGTATGAAGCAGGCTCCAGGTTCTGAGCCATTAGCACAGAGCCTGATGCGGGGCTCGAACCCACGAACCGTGAGATCATGACCTGAGCTGAAGTCAGATGCTTCACGGACTGAGCCACCCAGGCGCCCTGAGAATTTGCTTTTTTAACAAGTTCCCAGGTGATATTAAAACTGTTGGTCCGGACATCTTGAGAATCACTGCCTTAGAATAAGTCCAACCAAGGTCACGCTAAGAGCAGAGCACCTGAGTTCCAGGGGAATACTCTCTCCCCACCACTTCACGGGCATTGGATTGCCTACGCACCACCTCCTAGCACCTGCCCTTGGGCGGAAGCGACCTAGAGAGGAAAAAAAAGGCACTGGGCCCTACAGGGTCCCTCAACAGCTTTGTCTGCACAAGCCGCGATGCCCCATTTTCTCACTAGGTGTGCCTGATACCCTTCGACCGCTTCCAAAAATCTGAACAACCAGATTTTTAAAATAATTTTTTAAAATTCTTGTGAGGCCTTCGCGTTCTCTGCTCTGCGACCCTGAGCCTGCATCCCTGGCCACAAAGACAGGGCAGTGACATCAACTCTGCAGGGAGCAAACGCTGGGGCAAGTGCCAGGGTCTTCTCTACGTCAGGGCGTGCTAAGCACACTGGTTCATACGAGGGCACCTCCCCGGGTATATAGTAAGGTTGTGGGGGGTGTGAGAAGCCTCGCTATGAGCGTGACAGGGTGGGGGCTGGGGCTGCCAATCAAAACACTTCCCTTCGCTCTAGTGAGGGCTTCTGGGCCCTGCCTCCATGACCGCCCTGTACTGGATAATTCTGGGTCGTACGGGGCCATCCTGTCCGTAGCATGTTATCAAACAGCACCCCTGGACTCTACCCACTAGACGCCAGTAGCACACACACACGCCCCCCGCCCCCCACTTTGGTTGAACTATCAAGTGTATCTGCAGGTCATTTACAGGGGGGACATGGCCGCTCCACGCCTGGCAGAGGCGGAACAGATGCTCAATAACGGACTTATGAGTTAACCTCTCATACAAAGGAATGCCCTGGATCCCTCCCTGAGAGCCAATCAGATCCCACCCCCTCCTATTTTTCAAGGCCCTGTACAAATGCCTCTTCCTCCCTGAAGGCTTCCTAGATCGTCCCCACCCCTGGTTGTATATACTCTCCCACTCAATGCTGATGTCTGAGTTTGTGTTCCTCTTTGACACTTGTCATTTAGACTCCCACACATTTACACATGCGTTTTATCTCCACTGTTCACAAAGTACCAGGGAGGCTTTGGAAAAACTTCAGCACCAACTACCTATCTCCTCTGCCCAGCATCTTCCCCATAAAAATGATCTTCTCTGGGATGCTCATTTGGCATCTTCTCAAGTATATAGAAGACGTGAAAGAAACACTCACAATTTGTATTCCTTTGCAACCTACTCCCTAAGTAAAAAATGTCTCTTAAAGTGTATTATCAACTTAATATTTACCATACACTTAGCAGGGCCTAGGGCTTGTCCCCCCCCCCCCAAAAAAACAAAAACAAAACAAAGACGTTACATAGCTGAAACTCATTTTATCCTTAAAACAACCTTAAGAAGTAGAAACTTCTAAAACCATTTTACAGAGGAGGCACAGAGAAGTTAATTAACTTGCCCACTGGTCACACAGCCGGGAAGTACAGAGTTCGTTTTTAAACCAGGCAGTCCCTCTCCTGTCTGCACGCTCCTAACTGCCATAACCTACGGCCAAGCGGCTTCAAGACCATCAACTCTGAGTTCACAGCAAGACTGCAGCTCTCAAATCCTTGGATGGAAATGGATGGAAATCTGCAGCAGCGGGTCATAAGGTCTCCGATATCAGGGACCCCGGTTACGCAGTCCCTATGTCGCCTAAGGGCTGAGCTCTGTGCCCCGCACGAAGCGCGCTTTCCATGTGTATGAAACAGAGACAGTACAACGCTGGGAAGTTCTTCCTGAGGTCTAACCTTGGGCCATTTCTCACGGCCAACAGAAGAGGGGACCTGAGCGCTGAGCGAGCCGCGCCGCCTTCCACCGGTGGCCACCAGGTGTCGCCGCGGCGTCCCCCGAGCGGGAGGGCGGAGCGGCCGCAGACTGCGGGAGCAGCATGTGGACGCTCGGGCGCCGCGCCGCCGCCTGCCTCCTGCCCCGCGCGGCGCCCCCGGGCTCGGCCCGGGCCGGCGCGGGGCCCCCAGGGCCGACGAGGGACGCCGCGCTCCACGGCCGCCGGGGTCTGCGAGCCGGGACCGCAGCAACCCGCGCACCCAGCCGCGCGGTGAGTACCCGCGCCGCGCAGCTGGCAGGGCCGCACGCCGGCGGGGGGAGGCGGCGCACGCTGGGGACGCCGCGGGCGCGCGCGCCGGGCACGCGCGCCCAGTCCGCTCCGGCCGGGCCGCGTGGCGGGGACGCGCTCGGCGGCGGCGGCGGCGGCGGCGGAGGGGCGGGGGGGAGCGGGCGGCGGCGGAGGGGCGGGGGGGGGCGGGCGGCGGCGGAGGGGCGGAGGGGCGGGGGGGCGGGCGGGGAGCGGGCGGCGGAGGGGGTACGGGGGGGAGCGGGCGGCGGCGGCGGAGCGGGGACGGGGGGGAGCGGGCGGCGGAGGGGGGCGGGGGGAAGCGGGCGGCGGCGCGCGCAGCTGCCCCTGCCCGGCGCGGGGCCGCGCATTCAGCCTTCTGTTTCCTGGGGTCACGTTTGCACCGGCTTCTGCTTTGCAGTGGGAAGGGCAGTCCCTGCCCTGCAGCTGCGGGGGGGACGCAACGCGGGGATCCGGGATCCGCTTTGGGGGGGCCGTGGTTGTCTCCCAGCTCGCCGCTTTGCTTTTGGAGAACTTCAACCGAAGTGATACTGTATTCGGTACTAGGTACTGTAATATACATGTGTATGCCACCCACTGTTAGTATCGTACATAGAATACATAGAATGAAATAGCACAGGGGAGCCCGGGCGGCCCAGCCGGGTGAGCGCCCCACTGTTGATGCGGGCTCGGGGCATGAACTCATGGTTTGTGAGCTCGAGCCCCGCATCCGGCTCCTTTCTTAGCACGGAGCCTGCTTGGGATTCTTGCCATCTGCCCCTCAACTGCTTCTCTCTTTCTCTCTCAAAATAAATTTTAAAAAATAATAAAATAGGGGCACCTGGGTGGCTTAGTCGGTTAGGCGTCCGACTTTCGCTTAGGTCATGATCTCGCGGTTCGTGGGTTCGAGCCCCGCGTCGGGCTCTGTGCTGACTGCCAGCTCAGAGCCTGGAGCCTGTTTCGGTCTGTGACTCCCTCTCTCTCTGACCCTCCCCTGCTCACGCTGTCTCTCTCTCTCCTAGAAATAAAACATTAAAAAAATTTTTTAAAATAATAAAATAGTACAGTATAATAGTACCAGTGTAATAGTGTGTACACACACACACACACACACACTCTCTCTCTCTCTCTCTCTGTTAGAGGGATGTTTTCAAGCATGGACTTTAGGAGCGAAACGCTTCCTCCAGCGAGGTGGAAAGGTCCAGGCTGCGAAGTACGGCAGCGAGAGCAGTAAAGCTTCTGGAAAACGACTGGGCCTGCCTTCCAGATTCTGGCCCCGTTCCCCGGAGCTGTGTGACCTCCGGGCATCTGGAAGCTCTCCGAGGGAGGGAACGCCCGTTGGTGCGGCCGGTGTGAGCTTCCTTGGGATTAACGTGTGAAAGGCTTGGGCGCCGAAAGCTCCTTCCCCTGGGCGCGCAAAGCAGCGGGGCGGCCCCGGTGACTGCCGACTTGTGGGGTCGAGGAAGGCCGCGGGGCAGGATGGAGCCGGTGCTCAATCGGGGTCTTGAGGACCGCAGGGGAGGGGGCGCGGGTACCCCGCAAGACCACCTGCCTGTGGGAGGAAGGCACACGACGTCGGCTCTGAGTGGCCGGGGATGCCGGGCGCGCTGCGCCTGGTGACGGGGGCGCGTGAAATCCAACTCCAACTGCCTGTGGAGCTCTGGAATTTGGACTTGATTGATTGGCTGGTGTTTTTTATTTATGTTTGAAGGAGAGACAGTGTGAGCGGGGGAGGGGCAGAGAGAGAGGGAGACGCAGAATCCGAAGCAGGCTTTGCGCTGTCGGCCTAGAGCCGGACATGAGCCAAAATCATGAGTTGGACATTTAACAGACTGAGCTACCCAGGCGCCCCACTTTCTTTTTTTTTTTTTAAAGTTTATTTTATCTATTTTGAGTGAAAGAGAAAGTGTGCATGGGGGGAGGGGCAGAGGGCTAGGGGATAAAGAAAATCCCAAGCAGGTTCTGCACTGTCAGCTTGGAGCCCCACGCGGGGCTCAAACTCATGAACCCGTGAGATCAGGACCTGAGCTGAAGTTGGACGCTTAACCTACTGAGCCCTCCAGGCTGAATCCCTAATTCACTTCAAATTCATTTTTATTGTCTTCCACAGTGTATGTGAGTTTATACATATAACAGTGTATATAAAATATCTGTAGTGTTTAAAGATTGATAACAAACTCCCATATTTTCACCACCAGATTAAGAGATTGAATATTACTGGGGCACCTGCGTGGCTCAATCGGTTAAGCATCCGACTTGGGCTCAGTTCATAATCTCACAGTTCTTGGGTTTGAGCCCTGCATCAGGCTCTGTGCTGACAGCTCAGAGCCTGGAGCCTGCTTCGGATTCTGTGTCTCCCTTTCCCTCCTCCCCAAGCCCCCACTTGTGCGCTCGTGCTCTCTCTCTCTCCCAAAAAATAAATTAATAAAAAATATTTTTAGGAAAGAGAGAGAGATGAATATTGCCTGTTCCTCAAAAGCTCTCCCCGGTCCTCCCTGAAGGGAATGTGCTCTCCTGAATTGCCAGGCAAACCCCCTCCCTTTTCTCAGAGCTTCACCCCCTACGTATGTCTCCCTAAAAAACACTTTGCTGCATTTATTCTGCTGTGATTTGCTCCTTGTATTGACAAGGGTTGTGTTTGAGCCTCATCGACACCGATGCACACAGTCGTCACTTATTTGTTTTCTCTGCCGGACAGTACCCCGTTGGGTGAGTGCATCACACTCCATCCAGTCTCCTGGTGACATCTGGGGGATGCAGCCGTGGGCGTTCCTGGGCAGGGACAGAGGCCCTTTTCGGGTGAATTCCTGCGAACGGCATTGGCCGGGCGAGGAGCCAGCCGGTATTCAACTCACCTGATGCCAGAGTGGTTATGTCAGTCCACGCTCCCGGGCCATGGATGAGAGCCGAGGCACCCTTCCAGTGTGGTGCTCTGCCCAGGGGACCCCGGAGGGAGGGCTGGGCCTCCACTGGGTCATCTGGTTCCGGGGCTGAAGCCTGAGAGTGTAGGCCTCGGAACCGTCTCGAATCTCCTCAGGTGCCTCCAGTGCTAGCTCAGGGACTGACTGAACCCTGAAGACTCAAGCTTAGCAGACCCGTCACGGGCCAGTAGTTCAAGGGCTGCAGGTGGCTTGGAGGCAGGCAGAGGGGGCCTCTTGGAGGAGATGGAGGGTCTGCAAGGCTACGCAGGTACCCAGGGAATGTTGGAGTGGGGAGAACAGGTAAGAGACCAGCAAGATGTTTCTGGCAACAGCCCCTTTGATGATTAAACAGCCGAACGTAGACTTCTGCTTCTGGCTCTTGAGTAACTTGCATTAGCCCGAGCCTCCCACCAAGGACAGCCACCAAAGAAAGAAAATTCAAAGCCAGAAATGAAACAGGGGCGCCTGGGTGGCTCCGTCGGTTAAGCGTCCAACTTGGGCTCAGGTCACAATCTCACCGTTGGTGAGTTCGAGCCCCGCGTCGGGCTCTGTGCTGACAGCTCAGAGCCTGGAGCCTGCTTCAGACTCTGTGTCTCCCTCTCTCTCTGCCCCTCCCCCCACTCATGCTCTGTCACTCAAAAATAAATAAATGTTTAAAAATGTTTAAAAAGAAGTGAACAAAAACCGCTATGTGAAGTATCAGAGAGCCAGGACAGCTAGGATTTGAGAGGGACCCTGGAGAGGAGGGAAATTCTGAGCCCCTAGTTCTCAAACTTCCCTTCCATGCCTGAAACTCTGTACGGTTCCCAGGCATACGATTCTTTCCTTTGTGGCCCAGACCCTGGGGCCAGACAGCGTTGGGTTCAAATCCCAGCTCCTCCACTTTGTAACTGTATCTGTGTGACTCTGCTCAGTTTCCTCATCTGTAAAATACAAATACAGCCTTACCTTCATTTTTCATGGGTCCTGTCCTTGTGAATTTACCTTCTCAATAAAATGTGCCTGCAACCCCCCAATCGGTACCCAGGGTGATTCTGGGGTCACGCTTGGCCACGCCGGAGGCGCCCCATGCTCGCATGCTCCCAACGGAGGTCACACAGGGCGACTCCCTGCCTTCCGTTGCAGCCCCCACACTGTGAACAAGCACCCTATTCAGCGACCACGCAGCAGCGCCTTGTCTGCTTGTTTGTGTTTTCTGTTGTTGATTTCACTGTTTAAAATGGCCCCCAGCCTGGTGCTCAAGTGCAGTCCAGGCTCCAAGTGCACACAGGCTGTCACGTGCCTCACGGAGAAGACACGTGTGCTGGGTCAGCCCCTCTCAGGCCTCTGTTACCGCGCTCTTGGCCCCGAGCACAGTGTTCACGAATCAACGATATATATTAAACAGGTTGTCTTTAATATTTTTTTTAGTGTTTATTATTTTTGAGAGACAGAGACAGAGTGCAAGTGGGGGAGGGGCAGAGAGAGAGGGAGACACAGAATGTGAAGCAGGCTCCAGGCTCTGAGCTGCAGCACAGAGCCCGATGCGGGGCTCAGACCCATGAACTGCGAGATCATGACCTGAGCGGAATTTGGATGTAAAACATGTAAAACAAGGTTATGTAATGATCGGTTGGTCAGATGTGCCCTTAGGTTTGCAGGGCCTAAGCCTGCACTTCCGTTGGGCGTGGTTCACTAATCTAGTGCTCTTGGTGACTTTACAGAGCAGAACTGTCACGAATCCCACTATAATAATAGTACTTGCCTCACAGGATTGTAATGAGGACTAACCACGTCCATTTCTATCAACACCAAGGCAATAGTGAACACTCTAGAATGTGTGGTTATCACGTCAGCTCTCTCACTTCTTCAGGACCAGCCTTTTGAAATCATGCCCACTTTAGGGCATCTGAGTGCCTCAGTTGGTTAAGCCTCCGACTTCGGCTCAGGTCATGATCTCATGGTCTGTGGGTTCGAGCCCTGTGTCAGGCTCTGTGCTGACAGCTCATGGAGCCTGTCTTCAGATTCTGTCTCCCTCTCTCTGCCCCTCCCCTGCTCATGCTCTGTCTCTCTCTCTCTCAAAAATAAACCAATAAAAAAAGTTAAAATTAATCCTCTGGGAACGCCTGGGTGGCTCAGTTGGTTAAGCATCCAACTTCAGCTCAGGTCATGATCTTACGGTTTATGAGTTTGAGCCTCACATAGAACTCTCTGCTTTAAGTACAGAGCCGGCTTCAGATCTTCTGTCTCCCTTTCTCTCTGCCCCTCCCCCATTTGCGTGCACACATTCTCTCTCTCAAAAATAAAAACATTAAAAAAAGGATAAAAAGGGGCGCCTGGGTGGCTCAGTCGGTTGAGCGTCCGACTTTCTCTTGGGTCATGATCTCGCGGTTCGTGGGTTCGAGCCCCGCGTCGGGCTCTGTGCTGACTGCCAGCTCAGAGCCTGGAGCCTGTTTCAGTCTGTGACTCCCTCTCTCTCTGACCCTCCCCTGCTCACGCTGTCTCTCTCTCTCCTAGAAATAAATTTAAAAAATATTAAAAAAAAAAAAAAGGATAAAAAATCAAATCGTGCCCTCTGTGCTCTGCACTCCTGTTTCCCCCTCGTCCACATCTCAGCCCCGTGCCCTCTGCCTTCTTTCGGAGTTGGCCAAGGGCATTGATGGCTCAAGAGAACAACGACCTTGAACCTGGCTCCAGAGTGCTCTTTGGAGAATGTGAATCTTGCCACAAACCCCCTCAAGCCCCTGGGTGTCCTCCCAGGATGAAGTGCAGCTGAGTGCCGTCACAAGGCCCTGTGGCAACCTCGCCATCATCTCCTCTGCCGTCTCCCTTCCAGATGTACCACTTTTCTCTCCCTTGGTAGGCTCCGTCCCCTCCCACACTGGGGCAGGTCCCTCAGCCAGCATCCCCTCCTGTGTCTGTCACTGTCCTCTGGTATGTCATCTGGCTCTCCCGCTGGTCGGTAGCGCTGGTGGGTTCAGTCAGAGACAGGCGCCTGGATGCTCCCAAGTTCTGTACTGGGACGAATCAGCAGATGGTGTCCCTGAGACCTGCTGGGCTGCGGTTCGATCCCCTCCTCCAGACGTCAGCACACATCTGCCCCTTGCTGTTCATTGTTGTTTCGTCAAATTCCGGGAGCGGTGCTGATGCCTCCCCGCCTCGCCTCTGCTGACCGCCACGTAATTCACAGAGCCTGGCGCAGTGCTGCCCAGTAGAGCTTCCTGTGGTGGTGACCGTGTTCTGCGTGCCGCCAGCCACATGAGGCCATAGCACACGGGAAATGTGGCCAGTTAATTGAGAAACTGACTTCTTAAATTTCATTACAGTGAATTTAAATGTAAATAGCTGCATGTGGCTTGTGATCATTATATTGAACAGCACAGGCCTAGAGAGCCTGAGAGAAGTGATGGTAATGCTCTTAAAGAATGTGAAAACACTTCCTAAGAAACAGTCCTGGAGGAGCCCCGTGGTTGGCTCAGTCGGGAGAGTGGGCAACTCTTGATCTCAGAGTCATGTGTTCGAGCCCCACACTGGGTTACTTAAATAAAACAAAAGAAAGAGAGGGGCGCCTGGGTGGCTCAGTCAGTTGGGCATCCGAGTTCGGCTCCGGTCATGATCTCACCGTTCATGGGTTCGAGCCCCGCATCAGGCTCTGTGCTGACAGCTCAGAGCCTGGAGCCTGTTTCAGATTCTGTATCTCCCTCTCTCTCTGACTCTCCCCTGCTCATGCTGTCTCTCTCTGTCTCTCAGAAAAAAATAAAAAACATTTAAAATTTTAAAAAAATGAAAGAGAGAGGGGGGAAGAAAGAAAAGAAAAAAGAAAGAAAGACTGGCTCCTAGAAAACTTGAATGTGGTTATTCTCGAATGTAGAAGCAGTGATATTTAAATCATGCATTCATGGACTATGATACACTGGAAAATAGTTAACGTTCTTCTTAACTTTGGCTTTTAGACTTGGAGCACCCACCGCCTCAATCAGATTGTGAATGTCAAAAAGAAGAGTGTCTGTTTGATGAACTTGAGGACAGCGGGAACTCTGGGCGACCCTCGGTAAGATCAAGCACCTTCCACACTAGAGAGCTCCTCCCCCTCTCTCTCAGTACATACCACAGGCATACATGCACATGCTCCTCTCTTATATCTTTTATTAAATTTTTTCCTTTTCTCTTACCATTTTTTACCAAAAAAAAAAAAAAAAGCAAAAAGCCCATCCCATACAGAGCCTGTTATCTCTCTATTGGCAGTTCTCGTAAGCATCTGTTTAAGGAAATAATATTACGCTTAATGGATGGACCACACATAGTTCATTTAACCCGTCCCCTATTGCAGGACATTTAGGTTGTCTCCAGAGTTTTGTTATTATTCTCGTTGGTGACTTAGCAGTCACGGTGGGCCACGCCTCAGTAACAGAGACCCAAAACTGAAACTGCTCGAGCCAGGAGTGGTCTGTGTCCCTGGGAGCAGACGGCCCAGGGCGGACATGCCTCTGTGTGGTGGTTCCGTCAGCCAGGCTCCTTCCACCTTCCTGTCCCGTGTCAGTACCTTACTGCCCCCTGCAGGGTGGAGGCCAGGTCACCCCGTCCATTCCACAGAAAGGGACAAGGGCACGGAAGCCCCGGAAGTGGCGCTGTCACCCACTCACATTAGTGGGAAGGGCTTGGGCACATGGCCATAGCTCTCTGCAGGGGACGCTGGGAAATAGAGCCCAGTGGGTTCTGGTACAAAACTCCTCAGCAGTGCTCCAGTCTGCCCCCCACCACTGGGTTCCGCAGGGAACCTCCTTCCGCAGGTACTCACACACTATCTCTCTCTCTCTCTCTCTCTCTCTCTCTCTCACACACACACACACACACACACACACACACCCAGTGGAGAGCAGCTGCCTCACTTCCTTGCCAACTCTTATTACTACCGGTCTTCCATTTCAACCATCATTCTGATAGGCATCTCATTGTGATTTTTTCGTGTGCGTTTTCCTGAAGATCAATAAAGCTATACACCTTTTCATGCGTTCACCGGCCATTTGGATATCTTTCTAAAAATGATACCTGTTCAAAGTTGTTTGTTTGTTTTTTTTTTTTACCTTTTTTTTCTGTTGGGTTTTCTTTTTCTTACTGACTTGCAGTTGTTTCTATATTCTGGAAATAAGCCCTTTTTCAGATACATGTACAAATAATTTTCTCCCACTTTGTGATTTGCCCAATATAAATCTTAATAACAAAAGCAATGGAAATAAGCACAATGACCAACTGAAGGAGTTGGGTTCAACAGATAAAATAAAATCCCATGAAAATCTGTATGTACTCATACGGAACAGTGTCCAGGGTATGTTAAATAAAAACTGCATGCTGCTTCTTTTCTGTATTAAAAAAGAAAAAGATAAAGGGGCGCCTGGGTGACTCAGTCGCTTAAGTGTGGGACTTCGGCTCAGGTCACGATCTCGCGGTTCAAGAGTTCGAGCCCTGCATCGGGCTCTGTGCTGACAGCTGGGAGCCTGGAGCCAGCTTCGGATTCTGTGTCTCCCTCTGCCTCTGCCCCTCCCCCATTCATGCTGTTTCTCTCTCTCTCTCAAAAATAAATATTAAAAATAGACCCTCCCTAAGGTCTTTTAAAAAAAAGAATGTAAAATTCTGAATGAATACAGAAGAGACTGTCCTAGTTGACTCTGGATGGAGCTGCTTATTTGGGAAGAAAAGTTTATAAATTTGTTCATTTTGATTAACTTTTTACACTGTACGCATTAGCTGTTTTCTATGAATTTTTTAATATCTTTTTATTTTTTATTTTTTTAATGTTTTATTTATTTCTGAGAGACACAGCGTGAGCACGGGAGAGTCAGAGAGAGAGGGAGACATAGAATCTGAAGGAGGCTCCAGGCTCTGAGCTGTCAGCACAGAGCCTGACACAGGGCTCGAACCCACGAACCGTGAGATCATGACCTGAGGCTAAGTCGGACGCTTAACCGACTGAGCCACCTAGGCGCCCCGAATTTTTTAATTTAAGTAAAAAATAAATACGTCAGGGCATCTGGCTTGCTCATGAGTTCAAGCCAGAACTGGGGGTAAGACTTACAATGAATGAATGAATGAATGAATGAATGAATCAGCCAGCTTGACGTTCATAGGATGGGGCTGTTTGGTAAGCATACGTTTTGTGTTTCCCCTGCAGCTCTCTGGATGACACCACCTATGAAAGGCTGGCCGAGAAGACGTTGGACTCCTTAGCAGAGTTTTTTGAAGACCTTGCAGACAAACCTTACACACTGGAAGACTATGATGTCTCGTTTGGGGTACCTCTTTGCTCATTTTCTTTTTCTTTTTTTTTTATAAAAATTTTTGCAATGTTTATTTATTTTTGAAAGAGAGAGACAGCGTTGAGTGGAGGAGGGATAGAGAGAGGGAAACACAGAATCCGAGGCAGGCTCCAGGCTCCGAGCTGTCAGCACAGAGCCTGACCCAGGGCTTGAACCCATGAGCCAAGCCATGAGATCATGACCTGAGCTGAAGTTGGACCCTCAGCCGACTGAGCCACCCAGGCGCCCCTAGGCTGCTGCTTCTGCAGCAGGGTGTGTTCAGAGCACATAGACCCGGGTCCCACTCCTGGAGATGCTGGTTTGGTAGATCAGGGTGTTCTCTCGGGAAGCAAAGTTTTGAAAAGCTCACCTGGGATTCTAATGTGCACCCTGGGTCCCCCCCCCAGGGATTTTTATTTGGGAGTATGTCCCAACCAAGGCACAGGTGCTTTTTAAAGCTGTTATAATCAGGGCACCTGGGTGGCTCAGTCTGTTGATCATCTGACTCTTGATTGCAGCTCAGGTCACGGTCCCAGGGTGGTGGGATTGAGCCCTACTGTCAGGCTCTATGCTGATCATAGAGGCTGCTTAAGATTCTCTCTCTCTTTCCCTCTGCCCCTCTCCACTGCTCACACACGCGCTCTCTCTATTTCTAAAATAATAATAATGTTTCTGTAGTCACTCCCCAGATGATCCTAATACGCAGCTGGGGTGAGCCCCAGATCCCGGAAGCCAAGGCAGTGCTGCTCTGCACCGACTCGCCACCGGGTGGCAGACTTGAGTAAGGGTCCACCCTTGGATTTAGAATTCTGTTTAGGTCTTAGGGACCAGCTCCCTTTTTGCCAGGAGAAAATCCCCCACGGAGGTTAATCCTCTTGACAGCAATTAATTAATAGTTGGAAGTGTCACGAAGGGTGCATTTTGGAGTAAACCATGGAATTAGTTAGGATGACCGGCGGTGGGGCTACAGCGAGAGAAATGGTGTTGGACATTGCAGTGAAGTCCTGGGACGGAGAAGGGACACCACCAGATGGAGCAGGTAGCAGACTCTGGAAGGTTTCAAGCCTGGCTGTGAGGATAGGGAGGGACTTCACGGTCGAAACCGGCAAGGGGCAAGACAGGGTCCGATGCCTTCCAGGCGATTGCGGTCCGCGCAACACGCAACACTTTCTGGGCAGGGCTCTAGAAGTGCCCTTGTAGACAGCCTCAGACGGCGGAACCATTACAAACTGGCCTCCCAGCTTGACTGACTGGGATGCTGGAGTTGGGGGGTTACAGCCCTCCTCTCCCCCAGCCTCCCCACCAGGGGCTGGCTGCGCTTAGAGGGAAACCAAGGCTCGGGCTAAACTCGGCCTTACAGACAAACATCCATTAACATCCATTAAGTGTCCAGCCTCGGCTCAGGTCAGGATCTCACGGTTTGTGAGTTCGTGCCCCACGATGGGCTGTGTGCTGACAGTGAGGAGTCTGCTTGGGATTCTCGCTCTGCCCCTCCCCACCCCTCTCAAAATAAATAAATTTTGAAAATGCCACAAAAACAGTCCCACCACTCATTCTTATAAGATTAGTGAGATTACTTAGCAACTTGGGTATTTTGCATGAGTGTTTTCATTAGAGGCAGATGTGGCAGTATTTTTGGAGCCGGATTCTGTTTACCTCACTGAATCAGCAGCACATGTTCCTGCTCAGTGGTGGGTCACAGGGCCTTTTCCAAGTCCTACCTGCAGGGTGTCGCCCTGAAGAGTGACCCAGCTGCTGGGTCAGAATCTGGAAAGCCATTCCTGCAAAGGAAGAGGCACCTGCGTGTTTTCCTGGCCAGTCCATATACCTTCAGTAGCACTCTCCTTACCGGGCAAAATTACTTCTAACAAATCATTTGCTAATTAGGAAATTCTTTGGTATAGATGTAGAACTAAAGGCATATATATAATAGCTGCCTCTGTTGTTGGGACTTCTGATCAAGAACTTCGAAATGCTGGGGCACCTGGGTGGCTCATTCGGTTAAGCGTCTGACTTCGGCTCAGGTCACAATCTGCGTTCGAGCCCCGTGTAAGACTGCTGTCAGCCCAGAGCCCCTTTCAGATCCTCTGTCCCTCTCTCTCTGCCCCTCCCCACTCCCTCTCTCAAAAATAAATAAACATTAAAAAAGAAAAGAAACAAACAAACAAACAAAAAACTTCAAAATGCTGCCTACCCTGGGGTGTGAATTCCTGATTAGAGTGTCTGAGGCTCTAGCTAACATATATCCCACATATAAATCTATTGAAACTACATCATAGGCAATAGAACACCTGTAACACTATTACTCCAGCTTTGTCGGGGTGCCGTGTGTCCCTGTGCCCAGGGTCCAGCTGGGCATTACGTCCCCTGGAAAGTCCTCCTAGATGCTCCAGGCAGATACCACCCTTCCCTCCTGCCCCGCACGCTGAGGGTGACTACATGGAGCCCCGATCACCCTCTGTTCTGTCTGTTTACACATCGGCTCCCACGGCTAGACCGAGCTCCTTGGTAGCCAGGACACTGTCCATTCTGGATGTACCAGTGCCCACACGTACCTGACAGGGATTAACAAATGCTGATTCAGTGCCTAAAGGGAATGGGGCCCACTGACTTTAACAACACACACTTTGACTGATGCCGCTCAGCACCATCCATACTTTACCAACTTGCTGCTGGCTGTGTAGACGGATGACAGTAGTAATCCAGACACGCGGGACCATGTTCGTTCTGCTTGCTCCCCGTGCAGGGGGTGGCCTGGGGAGCTCCTTGGCTGTTGTGTCTTCTGTCGGTGGGTGGGTAATGTTGGGGGGCAGCGTCTGGGTCCAGGCCTCACCCCCACCGGCACTGCCAGTAGAGAGGACACCACCAGAGCAGAAAGCACCGCCCGTCCCTAGGCCCCCATGGAGTCTGCTGCACTTGACCGGGACTGTGAGAAGCACCGCGCTCTCTGAGGGGCTCCTTCCAAGCCAACTTCCTTGCTTCCCTGCTGGGGCCCTGGCCTCTTGGGCGTTTGGATGAGAACTGGTTTGTAGTCCTGTTCTTTACTCCCTAAGCTGGCGGCATATCACTGTCCTACAGCAGACGTTCCTGACCCTTCTCTGGGCCGTCTCCCGAGAAAATCTTCCCCTCACGCCGATGAGTACAACCTCAGCTTCAGAGCGGGGGCTGTTCGCACACCCCTGGAGGCCACCTCTGGGCCCCAGGTTACCCACACTTGCTCTCAGGGGCAGCATTTTATTGGATGTGGAGAGAAAGCACCTAGCTTATCATCCCGGGTTTGTATTTTCTTTCCAAGAGTCCTTTTAAAAAATAAATTTAATGTTTATTTATTTATTTTGAGAGACAGAGAGAAAGAGAGAGAGAGAGAGAGAGAGGAGAGAATCCCAAGCAGGGTCCATGCTGTCAGTGCAGAGCCCAGTGCAAGGCTAGAAGCCACTAACGGAGAGATCATGACCTGAGCTGAGATCAAGAGTCAGATCCTAGGTGCGCCTGGGTGGCTCAGTCACTTGAGCGTTCGACTTCGGCTCAGGTCATGATCTCACAGTTTGTGGGTTCGAGCCCCACATCGGACTCTGTGCTGACTGCCAGCTCAGGGCCTAGAGCCTGTTTCAGACTCTGTGTCTCCCTTTCTCCCTGACCCTCCCCTGCTCATGCTGTCTCTCTCTCTCTCTCTCAGAAATAAATAAAACATTAAAAAAAAAAAGTCAGATCCTTAACCGACAGAGCCACCCAGACGCCCCTGACAAGCGTCCATAAGTAAATTAGCTTAACTCCTGGGAGTGGCGGGTTCTTCAGCTGTAAAGTGAGTGACGTCCCTCTACCTCTCTGATTTATGTTAGGATTAAATTTTTAAAATCCTACACATTCATTATTCTTACTCTTTAAGAGGAAGCTGCACGTAAAGCTGAAATCACCTGACCCCTCCTGCCATCCCACGTGTGTCCTTTGCTACCAGATGAGCTCGTGACAGCAGAAGTCGCTCCCTTTGCCCCCTGTGCGCGGGGCTGATGCTGGCTGGCCCTGGCGGGAGTACACCTCCGCCAGCTGCGGCCAAGCGCTGTCCTGACTGTGTGGTGCCCGGGTCAGCGGCGACTGAGATATTTTGACTCTCTCCCACTTCCCCTCCCCTCCCCTGCGTGTAAGTCTGCCCACACCCAAAACAGTCTCCGACTGCCCCTCAAGGAATAATGCTGATGAACTTGAGACCGTCGTGAACACACTAAAACCTGGCGAAACAGTTGGTAGCTTAGCTTCCTTCCGTCCGTTCCTTCCCTCCTCTTGCCAGTTTCCTCTGGAAACAGCCGCTGGCTCCGCGGGGGAAGAACACTGGCACGTAAACAGCAGGAGGTGGGTGGGGACTAAGTGCTGAGCCCCTCTGTCTTGTGTAACCCGGCCCTTAACGTCACGCACGTCATCACCATTGCCTGGTCACCCTCGGCTCCGTCCCTTCCTCCACCGTTGTAGGTTTGTGTCTGTCCAGTATTTTGCACAGAGAATGGATGTGCTGGACACTGAAGGCGCTTGGATGAAAAGACAGATCTGGGGCGCCTGCGGGGCTTAGTCAATTAAGCGTCTGACATCGGCTCAGATCATGATCTCACGCTTCGTGAGTTCGAGCCCCGCATCCTGCTCTGTGCTGACAGCTCAGAGCCGGGAGCCTGCTTCGGATTCTGTGTCTCCCTCGCTCTCTGCCCCTCCCCCACTCGCTCTTTCTCTCTCTCTCTCTCAAAAATAAACATTAAAAACGGAAAAAAAGACAAGTCTGCATTCTAAGTGCTTAAAGTAGTGGAGGAGAGGGGGTCAGTGTTCAGCTAACTAGCCGGCGGCTCAGGTGCAGGGAGGAAGGCACAGAAGGGCAGTGGGGGCACACACAGGCTCTGGGCCCGGCCGCGGGTGTCAGGGTAACCTCACTGCGGTGCCAGGTGAGGTGCCAGGTGTCAGCGTGCCTCAGCTGGGGCTGCTGGTCTTGGGGGGAGGGGTGCTGCAGAGAAGGTGCCAGGTCGGGGAGACCGCTTGCCTGTGCCTCTAGAAGAAATCTCACAGTTGCTTTATGAATATGCTCTTTGTGAAGGAGCGGGCAGTTCCCTGGACTCACTGCAGAATATTCTGAGTTGGAAGGAGGTGCCGGAGGGTGGGGGGGACTCAGTGGGTTAAGTGTCCAACTTTGGCTTAGGTCATGATCTCATGGTTCATGAGTTCAAGCCCCATATCTGGCTCTCTGAGGTCAGCAGGGAGCCTGCTTAGGACCTTCTGTCTACCTCTCTCTCTGCCACTCCCCTGCTCACTCATGCACATGTGCTGTCTCTCAAAAATAAACAAACATTTAAAAAACAAGATTTTGAATTGGAAAGAGCTGAGTTCGGCTTTCCGCAAATAGGATCTGCCATCGCTCATTTGGTCCCCTGCTCCACGGCGTGACAGTGGTCAGGAGTGTGCACGGCCCCTGGGTGCCTGTGTGCCTCCATCTGTGCACAGGTCCCTGAAGGAGGCAGCACAGATGTCCTGAGGAGGGTGGCCGGGCTGATGAGGCTGGGACCCCGCCCTCTGCTCTCTCCTCTGCACCTGCGCCGCCTCCAGTGTGGGGGCCAAGGCGCAATGGGACATTGAAGGAGCACAGATGGGTCACACTGGAAACAGTTCCCGTCTTGATCCCCTGAGCCTGGTATCTCATGGAAGAATAAGCTATGAAAAGTGTGTATGGGGGGAGGAAGGAAAGACAAATGACGGCTTTTGGGTGTGGGGTCTCTTTGGGGTGGTGGAAATAGTCTAGAATTAGTCATGTTTGCACCCTTAATGAAGACACTGTGAAATACTAAAAACTACTGAATTGTACAGTTTTTAAAAATGCTTATTTATTTATTTTGAGAGAAAGAGAGTCGGGGGGGTTAGAGAGAGAGAATCACAAGCAGGTTCCACTTAGTCAGTGCAGAGCCCGAATTGGGGCTCAAACCCATTAACCGTGAAATCATAACCTGAGCTGAAATCAAGAGTCAGACGCTTAACTGAGCCCCCCAGGCACCCCTGAATTGTAGTTTGAAGACACTTTTAAGTAAGTGAAAGGTGGTGGTTCCACCAAAGTAGTAAAGGTGGGTTTCATGAAAAAAGTGTTTTAAAAACATACTTATGGGGCCCCTGGCTGGCTCAGTGAGCAGAGCATCTGATTCTAGATCTTGGGGTCATGAGTTCAAGCCCCACACTGAGTGTACAGATTATATTTTTTTAATGTTTTTTTTTTAATTTATTTCTGAGAGAGAGAGAGAGAGAGAGACAGCATGAGCGGGAAAGGGGCAGAGAGAGAGGGAGACATAGAATCTGAAGCAGGCTCCAGGCTCTGAGCTGTCAGCACAGAGCCTGATGTGGGGCTCGAACCCCCAAACCGTGAGATCATGACCTGAGCCGAAGTCGGACACTCAACCAACTGAGCCACCCAGGCACCCCCAGATTATTTTAAAAAATAAAAATAAACTTAAAAAAGAAAAAAACCAATTTATGTACACTGTGATGTACACTTATGTATCCCTGATGTCTGTGTAATTTCTGTTTCTTTTTTTCTTTAAAAAAATTTTTTTTATACAATTTATTTATTTTTGAGACAGAGAGAGACAGAGCACAAGTAGGGGAAGAGCAGAGAGAGAGGGTGACACAGAATCTGAAACAAGCTCCAGGCTGTCAACACAGAACCTGATGCGGGGCTTGAAGCCAGAAACTGTGAGATCATGACCTGAGCCAAAGTCGGACGCTTAACCGACTGAGCCACCCAGGGGCCCCTCTTTGTTTTCTTTTTTAAGCAGAAAAAAAAAATGGTATTAAAAATAGTGTGGGTGGCTCAGTCAGTTAAGCATCTGACTTCGGCTCAGATCATGATCTCACAGCTCATGGGGCCAAGCACCGTGTCAGGCTCTGTGCTAACAGCTCAGAGCCTGGAACCTGCTTCGGATCTGGTGTCTCCCTCTCTCTGCCCCTCCCCTGCTCACACTATGTCTCTGTCTCTCTCAAAAATAAATAAACATTAAGAAAAAGATTAAAAAAATATATATAGCCCAATAGACTCCTCATCCCTTGCCTGTCAGTTAAATTATTAGTATTTATTATTATTATTATTATTATTATTACTGTTGTCTACCTTTTCAGTAGCTCTTATTATTATTATTATTATTATTACTGTTTTCTACCTTTTCAGTAGCTCTTTGTGTTTGCAAACCAGGCACAAAGCATTCGGGACCTCTTGATTGCACAAGGGCTCTAGAAGCCCAGAGAAAGCTGTCTGGGTGTGTCTGCACGGCTCACACCCTAGGTGGGGGGGGGGGGAGAGTAGTAAGAGGGGCTCCCCCCTGCACACCAGCTCCAATGAAGGGTACTGAGCTCTGTAGCTGCTTCTGTAAGTAAGATCCTGCCCTTTCTAAAGAAACCTCAGACCTTGGGAGTAAAGGGCTCCTTTGCTGAAAGAGCGTTTTCAAATTTAAATGAGCATTTATTGAGCAAAGATGAACCAACTAGTCTTTTAAAGAATTCAGGGCTCTCGTCTAGGAAAATAAAGCCCTTCAGAGCAGCTCCTGAAATGTGTGGGAAGAGTCTGAGAATAAAAACTAGTCTGGAGTGTCGGCCTTCTACTAGCAGAGCAAATAGTATTGCTGTTCTTTTTCTTCTTTTTTAATATTTGTTTATTTTTGAGAGAGAGAGAGAGAGAGAGCAGGAGAGGGACAGAGGGGACAGAGTTTTTGAAGCAGACTCTGTGTTGACAGCAGAGAGCCCAACGTGGGGCTTGAACTCACGGTCTGTGAGATCATGACCCGAGCCAAAGTCCAATGTTTAACCGAGGGAGCCCCCGCGGTGCCCCTATGATTGCTCTTCTAAGACAAGCAAAGCAGGTGGTTTGACTACTTCTTTCTATCTTGCCTTTTTTCCTTGTTTTGGTAATGAACTTGTCCTGTCCGACGTTTGGGCTGACATGGTTCTCCGGTGGGGTTGGCGTCTGCATTTTTTTTTTAGGTATGCTCCATGCCCAGTGTGGGTCTTGAACTCTGGACCCTGAGATCAAGAGTCGCATGCTCCACCGACTGGGCCAGCCAGGCGCCCAGCGTCTGCCTGTTGTAAAGCCCTTTTGTGTGTTCTGGCTGATAGTTAAGGAAACCAAGGCAGCAGGCAGGATGTGGGCCCTCCGTTGGCCAGTTTAAGACCTCAGACAGGCCACTGCGGTGTCCTCACCTTGAGAGGGGAATAATCTAATTCTCGCCGTGCTGCCTCGCAGGGAATAAGGGAAAGCACCGTGAGATCCAAGTATTGTCGTGATTAATCACAGTCTCACTCAGAGAGCACTGGGCTTTCTGCATGACGTGCCGAGTCTAAATGCGAAAGGCAGCTCTTCGCAGTGTATATATGTTGTGTACTTGTATAAATGGAAAGCGTCCAGGTCTGAAGCAGTTGTGCCCAAGAGATAACTCTGTCTTTATTTTCCTCGTGCTCTTTCCCTCCTGATCCGCTAGAGTGGTGTTTTAACAGTTAAACTGGGTGGAGATCTAGGAACCTACGTGATCAACAAGCAGACCCCAAACAAGCAGATCTGGCTGTCTTCACCATCCAGGTAGGTCTCGGAGTCACAGTTTGGCGCTGTTCAGCTCATGGCAGACCCTGGGAAAGGGGCATCCTGTCGTGGGTGGGTGCCTGTAAGCGTGCCTTTCCTGATGCTTCCTTTGCGCTCCCCACATCCTTGTAGGATGGCCAACTCTGCTTCTGTATGTCTGCATGCCGATAATCTGGCAGATGCTGAGATATTGAGATATTGGTAGGTATTAAGATGTCTGCGAGATCTGAAGCAGAAAGTTGAGGACTTTTCAGAACCTGGCCCGGACAGTTTTTCTCTCTCAAATCACTGCCCTGCCTTTTAAAAGGTCAACTTTTGATACTGCGGCATTGGAAGGAGCTGCCCTTTGTCTACAAAGCAGGTTCAGGTTTGACCTCTAGCTTGTTTTGAGCATCCCCGCTAGAGGTTGGTTGAATTCCCTCCACGGAGTCAGGCTGCTTGTCGTGTGGAGGTGGGAGAGACTCCTCAGCTTCCACTCCAGGGCACTGAATCCCTCCTGCCTCTCCCATTGATGTGTTTTCAATCCAGTGGAATAAAAGATTGTGTTGGAGGCCACCTGCCCACGCTGCATCTCCAGCCCCAAGAACTTGCGCGGAGAGGGGGCCCCTCATCCTTCTGGATCCTTCTGAGTGATTACAAGAGTGTTACAGAGAAATACTCACAAAAGGTCTCAGACCAGCCTTCCTGGGCCATTCATTAGCACTTCCAGAGAGAACACACTGTGAATTGGGAAAGGCCCAAATGTAACCGGGATGGAGTTCTTTGAAAGCTCAGTGGTATTTGCATTTAAAAAAAAAAAATCATAACTCTTCCCCTGCCCCAACGTTCACATAATTTTTTTTAACATTTATTTAATTTTGAGAGAGAGAGAGAGAGAGAGCACAAGCAGGGAAGGGGCAGAGAGAGAAGGAGACACAGAATATGAGGCAGGCTCCAGGCTCCAAGCTGTCAGCACAGAGCCCAAAGCGGGGCTTGGACTCACAGACCATGAGCCGAGCTGAAGTCGGATGCCCAACTGACTGAGCCACTCAGGCACATAATTTTTATTTTTATTTTTTTTTAATTTTTTTAAATATTTTTATTTATTTCTAGGAGAGAGAGAGAGAGAAAGAGTGAGCAGGGGAGGGTCAGAGAGAGAGGGAGTCACAGACTGAAACAGGCTCCAGGCTCCGAGCTGGCAGTCAGCACAGAGCCTGACGCGGGGCTCGAACCCACGAACCGCGAGATCATGACCTAAGCGAAAGTCAGACGCTTAACCGACTAAGCCACCCAGGCGCCCCACTCAGGCACATAATTTTTAGGCAGTTAGTATTATACCGTTTGTCATGCAAGGGTGTGTCATTATTTGTCCAAAATAAATAAAGCATTGTGCCTCCTTCACTCCAGCCTCATCAAGGAAATGTGTTCTATTTCACAAAAACAACCCCAGAAGTCACTCATTTCTAGCAAGGGCCCTTATGGATGGCATTGCTGTTTTGGATCGGTCCTTTCATTTGAAGTTGGACGTTTTACCCTGTGTGGGCCAATCACACTGCTCTCTCTGGCCTCAAACAGTGGCCCCCCACCCCCACCGGAGCCATGCCTGATAACGGTCTATTCTTACCTTCACCCCCGGGGGACCTGAACTAGAAACTGGGTGGACCGGTTCAAACGCAGCCATCAGCTCTGGGGACTGGCGGCTGTGTAAATACTGGGCAGGGCACTGACCCACCTGTGATGGCTCCGGTCCCTCCGTGTTGTATCTGGAGGCTGGAAAAGTCTGCATCGTGTTTGGACACACCTACCAGCGATAGGCTCCTAGCCCAGGCTTGTTCAGTCTGTCTTTCACGATGGGAATCTGGAAAGATCATCTGCCAAGGAGCCGTTTACGATCACAGGTATTATGGTCCTCAAGGAAAAAATGGTTATTTTCCACGTCCAAAATAATTTCTCTGGGGGATGCATTTCTGGTATTTTGGGGGCTTTTTTCAGATGGCATCTTTTTGGGTTGCGTGGACACAGAGGCCTCCCCTGCCCACTCTGGGAGGTTGTAGGATGACCCCTGGGTGCGCACCGGGATGCCAGCGCCGTGGCTCCAAGCCCCGGGGGCAGTGGAGGGGCCTGGGGGTTTCTCACGCTCTACCTGGCACTCCGGCAGCAAGTCAGAGGCCGGGGCCAAGCGCGCGTCCTGTGGATGTGGTCCAGCCTGTCCGTTCTTGGTATACGGCCCGGAGAGTTTGTATGTGGCTGGTTGTGCGTATGAACAAAGGCCTCGGTCCTCTTGGCTTACGCCTCTTATCTCTGTTATTAGGAAAGGGTTCAAACCCCAGCATTTGGTTGATGGTCCAGAAACCTTTGATGTTTTTATAGCCTCAGAAGATGCCCACCTTCTAAGCATCCCTCTTCCCTGTAGACTCCTCCCAGTCCTGACCCTGCACCCCGAGTGCGCAGGTGAACCCAGTGCCCTTCTCGTGCGCCCCCGGGTTCTCTGCTCCACCCCCAGCAAGGCATCACCACCAGCCGGCCCTGTCTGCTGGCTTGCCTGTCCCCCGCCTCCCCCCCCACCTCTGGAATGACAACACATGTCTAACCCTAGCTCGCCCAGGCCCACACAGAGGCAGCATCCCACCATGAATGGATGGAGGTGCCCTCTTGTTCACTGGGTGAGCTTGAGATGGAGGAACTCGCCATTTCACGGATTTAAAATTGAATTCAGAAATACATATATTCTTAAATAGTATAGGTGATTGCCAGGGGCTGGGGAGAGGAGTGTAGGGGAGTCGTGCTCAGTGGATCCACAGCTCTCTTTCTGGGGGGTGAAGGGTTTTGGTAGATAGAGGTCGTGGTTGCACATGTTAAGAGTGTACTAAAATAATAATAATAATATTAGTGAGGGGAAAATCATGTCAGCGGCACACAAATGGCCATAATTTTAAAAAACATCACCACTGGGATGCCTGGGTGGCTCAATCGGTTAAGTGTCTGACTTTGGCTCCGGTCATGATCTCACAGTCTGTAAGTTCGAGCCCCGCATCGGGCTCTGTGCTGACAGCCTAGAGCCTATTTCAGATTCTGTGTCTCCGTCTTGCTCTTTGCCCCTCCCCTGCTCACACTCTGTCTCTCTCTCTCTCAAAATAATAAAATAAACATTAAAAAAAAAAACACACAAAACCACCGCCTCTGACATAGCAGGTGTATCACACCTGTGTCAGGAAAGGCGAAAGCTCAGCATGTGAAATAGAGGCTCATCGAGGGGGTTCACAGGCTTTCAGGACCTGTGCATTGTTCCAAGGGGTTACTTGTGTACTTGTTCTAAAACAGAAAGACCCTAAGAAAGCCTTGTTCCGGTTGCCTCCTGGGGTGTCACAGCAGCCCGTGTCTGGGTGGCCGCGTCTGCGGACTCAGCATCTTGCAGCGCGGACGCTGAGGATCTGCTCTCTTGCAGCGGCCCGAAGCGCTATGACTGGACCGGGGAGAACTGGGTGTACGCCCACGACGGCGTGTCCCTGCATGAGCTGCTGGCCACCGAGCTGACGAGAGCCTTAAAAACTAAGTTGGACTTGTCGTCTCTGGCCTATTCCGGGAAAGACACCTGACGCCCAGCCCAGTTCCAAAGGCATTAGAAGCTCTGACGGCAACACCCCAGCTCCGTCCTGCCGCTGAGTGTCTGGTGTGTTCCCATTCCCGCCTTTGAGGACCCCTGCATTGCCGGTAACTGCGCAGTAAAAAGAATGCGTGGCCTCCCACCCTCCCCCAAGTTCAGGTTTTAATTTACATAGTGTGTGTGTGTGTGTGTGTGTGTGTGTGTGCGCGCGCGTGTGTTGGATTTATTGTCCGATTTCCTCCCTCACAGAATTGTGCTTCTCTTTCATAATTGTCCGTATGCTCCTACATTTTATATAACGTTACAACCAAGAAAACTCAGGGGAAACTGCTGGGGGGGGGGGGCGGGGGGGGAGGAAAGTAACTTGATTTCACAGTTCATTCCCTGAAGGACTAAATGTAAAAAGCCACGTGAACAGTGACTGGCCGGCCTCACCTTTCTGTCCCCAATAAGCCTCATTAAAGAGTTGCCTCTAAATGCTGCCTGCCACGCCTCTTGAAAATGTAAACGTTTCTGAGCCCTTTGCTGTGAAAGTGTCACTGACATTCAGGAGTTCTCAAACCAAAGATCATTCTGTCTGCACTTTGTGTCTGCCAGGGTGTGTACTGCACAGAAGACTCGGGGGCTCTGATGCCTTTTCTTCCACAGAGATGTCCATATGCACACATTTCATTAATTATGTGTGTGTGTATTTTTTAATATATTTTTTAAATGTTTATTTTATTTTTGAGAGAGCAAGAGAGAGAGCATGAGCAGAGGAGGAGCAGAAAGAGACAGGGACAGAGATCTGGAGTGGGCTCCATGCTGACAGCAGAGAACCCAACATGGGGCTTGAACTTACCAGCTGTGAGATCAAGACCTGAGCCAAAGTCGGACGCTTAATCGACTAATCCACCCAGGTGCCTCTGTGTGGGTGTGTTTTTTTCCTTTTTTTAAGTTAAGGATACTTCTAGAATCAGCTGCTATAGCACAGGTCTGAGAATGCAAAAAATCTCCCAGAGACAAGATGGAAAAAGCCATCTTCATAAGCCCGTGAGTGTAGTATTATAAGCTAGGTCAGTAGTGTAATAAGCTAGGTCACGGGGGTGAGGAGGTGCTTTGTAAATTACAAAGAACCACATAAATAAAACGATGTTCATGTTAATGTAAAGAGCCCCCGTCCTTCCCTTGGCTTAGTTCAACCTCTTCTTGGGAAAGAAAGGTTTCTCAGTGACAAGTCTATGCAAACCTGTGGCGTCCTGATTGTCTGTCTCTGGTTGGGTTTCACAAACTCCCTGGACCTCAGTTTCCCCTGGTGTTAAATGAGAGTGTGGAACTGCATAGAATATAGTCATATAGTCCATTCCCAGAAGCGCCTGGGTGGCTCAGTCCGTTAAGTGTCCAACTTCAGCTCAGGTCATGATCTTATACTAAATGAGTTCAAGCCCTGCATCGGGCTCTGTGCTGACAGCTCAGAGCCTGACTCCTGCTTCAGATTCTGTGTCTCCCTCTCTCTCTGCCCCTTCCCTGCTCACACTCTTGTCTCTTGCTCTCTCAAAAATAAATATACATTAAAAAAAGAATATAGTCCGTTCCCAGTCCAGACATTCAGTGGTCTTGTCAGACCAACTTAACAGGCTGGTTTTATTTCCTTCTAGTAGATGAGGCAATGACAGTGAATGATGTTTTTAAGTTTTAGAGTAAATATGGTTATTGGTATTGTTCTACTTGAACTTCAGTTGAATTCAAGTTCATATAATACCCGTCTTATCGTGTCCTTGCTTGCTTTGGGAACTTATGCTGTAGACTGAATGTCTAAATCCCCCCCGAAATTCCTGCGCTGGATCCTGGCCCTCAGTGTGATGGTGCTAAGAGGTGGGGGCCTTGGGGAGGTGATTAGATCATAAGGACAGAGCCTCTTGAATGGAATTAAGAGGCTCTTATGGAGACCCCAGGGAACCCCTCCCACCATATGAGGATTCAGTGAGAAGACAGCCATCTAGGACCCTGGAAGCAGAACTTCACCAGATACTGAATTTGCTGGGCCTTGAACTTGGACTTCCCAGCCTCCAGAGCCGTGGGAAATAAATTTCGGTTGTTAATAAGCCACCCAAGTCTGTGGTATTCTGTTATTGCAGCCCAAATGGACTAAGATACCTGCCACACCACCTCATCTTAGTCTTTACTGACCTGCATTTTACACATGAAAAAAACAAAGCTCAGGAACATTAAAAACTCAAGTTATGTTCCTGTTTGGTTATTTTTTAAGTTTATTTATTTTGAGGGAGAGGGAGAATCCCAAGCAGGCTCTGTGCTGTCAGCGAAAAGCCCAGCTCGGGCCTGGGCTCAGGAACTGTGAGATCATGAAGAAAACTTTTTTTTTTCTTGAAGGTTTTACTTATTTATTTTTGAGAGAGAGAGAGAGAGAGAGCAGGAAGGGGCAGAGAGAGAATCTCAGGTGGGTTCCATGTTGCCAGCACAGAGCCAGATGTGGGGCTCGAACTCACAAATCACAAGATCATGACCTGAGCCAAAACCAAGGGTTGGACGTTTAACCAACTGAGCCACCCAAGTACCCCACCCTCTCACCCCCGCAAAAAATGACTCTTAACAATAGAACAATATAAACAAATGCTAAGTGGGTATTTAAAAATTTCCTTTCTTCAAAAATAAAATTATTTTTTAGTGTGGGTGGAAATTCTGAAGAGTCGTAGGTCGGTACCAGTGAGAATTGTGTGCGTATGTTTATGTGTGTGTATCTATATCTTGCTTCTAATGAAAGTTTCACTATCTTGCTTACTTGGAATTTAGTTAAGTGATGCACTCCCCTATCTGGGACACAACATAAAAAATGTATTTAATCAGGCTGCTATAACCAGAGAATGTAAGTTAGGGGATCTGTGCTATTTCTTTTTAATTAATTTATTTATTTTGAGATAGAGAGGGAGCGGGGAAGGGTCAGAGAGAGAATCGCAAGCAGGCTCTGCGCTGTCAGATTGGAGCCCAGCATGGGCTCAATCCCATGAATCAGAACCGTGAGATGCTGACCTGAGCCAAAAGCAAGAGTCAGACAGATGCAGCCCCCTGGGCGCCCCAGGGGATTTAATACTTTCCTTGTGGGCTAGCTTTTCAGGCCTATTTACTTTTACTTTACATACAATGCTGACTGGCTCAACTATTTAGGTTCGAAGGCCCTGGGAGCATCCTGTCTAAGGCTGTGGGAGAATTACAACCACAAAAACAGTCCCGAGGGAGGCATAAAAACAATTTATGACCAGCAAACTGGAAAAGCCCCACAGTGCGGGGCCAGGAGCCTCCCACACCTCCAACCCTGGGAGCATCATCACATTTATGGGGTTACCCACGCTAAGGATGAGTTTTCAGGAAAAAGTTGTAAGTGTTAAGTATTACATGTTAAAGGAGGCAAGAAAATATGCACAATAAGTTTAGAAAGCTTTCTATTATGATTTGCTTCAATATACAACAATCAGTGGATAGAGCCCCTGGCCACTTGAAAATGTCACTTCCCAGAAGGACTTCTCCTCTGCTTTGAGGATCCAGATACGCACTGGGGCCCGTAAAAGAGAACCTAAGATTTTTGTATTAGAATTTTAAAAATGTATCCAGGGGCGCCTGGGTGGCTCAGTCGGTTAAGCATCCGACTTTGGCTCAGGTCATGATCTCGCAGTTCGAGAGTTCGAGCCCCGTGTTGGGCTCTGTGTTGATAGCCAGCTCAGAGCCTGGAGCCTGTCTCAGATTCTGTGTCTCCCTCTCTCTCTGACCCTCCCCTGCTCATGCTGTCTCTCTCTCTCAAGAAATAATTTTTTTAAAAAACATTAAAAAAAATTTTTAATATAAAAAAAGTATCCAAACTCTGCTACTGACTTATTTGTTGGCAGTAGCCTCACTTTTCTTACCTATAAAATGGGGATGTCTGGGGCGCCTGGGTGGCTCAGTCGGTTAAGCATCCGACTTCGGCTCAGGTCATGATCTCACCGTTCGTGGGTCCGAGCCCCACATCTGGATGTGTGCTGACAGCTCAGAGCCTGGAGCCTGCTTCAGATTCTGTGTCTCCCTCTCTCTCTGCCCCTCCGCTGCTCACACTGTCTCTTTCTCTTAGAAACAAATAAAACATTAAAAACATTTTAATTTAAAATGGGGATGTCTGACCCATGGCACCTGGGCCCACATGCAAAGCACTTAACACATAATCAATACTGTCACATGCAAAGCACAATTTCATATGCAAGTTTGGGAGTTTCCCCCAAAGTATTATCTATGACATCCTCTACTCAGCCTCACACTTAGTCAAAATGCTCATTTTGTTACCTTGGTGATAGATTCTGATTTCCTGGAACAATTTTCTTGCCCCCTTACAATGCTTATATATATATATTTAAAGTTTATTATTTATTTTTGAGAAAGACAGAGCATGAGCAGGGGAGGGCAGAGAGAGGGGGAGAATCTCAAGCAAGCTCTGCGCTGTCAGCGAAGAGTCTGACATGGGGCTCAAACTCACAAAACTGAGATCATGACCTGAGCCGAAGTCAAGAGTTAACCAACTGAGCCACCCGAGGGCCCCTACAGTGCTTATATTTTACTCCATCTTCTGCATAGCTTCTAAAAATAATTTGGCCTAACTGAGTTTGACAGATGGTATTAAATAATAAGTGTACAATATATTTCTTAAGCTATACCTGCCCCCATATTGTAGTAAGCCCTACTGCTACATCTAAAGAGAGACCTACATGCGTAAAAGTGAAGTTTGTGTGGACGGACTAGGCAAAGTTGTCAAGGAAGGCGGGCTTCACACCGCCAAGGTACACACCAGGATTAAAATAACTTTAGGTCATGTCCAGTTGAATTCTTGGCATGGGTTTATCTTTTGTAAATGGAAATAGTCACATACCAGAAGGGGAAGGAGGGGCCCTGGTATGAATGACATACATTTTTTCCTGTTGTTCAAAGCTATGACTTCATGACCGTCTTTCTGTGCACAGCTATTGTCAGATATTACATCACATTACTGTTAGACATCTTACAACAGTAAGAAATGCTTTCAAATCCTTGACTTAATTATCCATAATATGCTAAACATCCCAATCAATGGCCCCTTTGGAATTCATAAAACTGAGGTCATTATATTCTGATGTCTGCTAGCAGAATCTGAGTTCACACAGTCCACCTTTTTTGGATATATTAATTAAGACATAGAATGTTTTAACCCCCCAAGAAACTGGGTAGAGAAGGAGGGGTGCCTGGGTGCCGCAGTCAGTTAAGCAACTAACTTGATGTCGGCTCAGGTCATAATCTCAAGGTTCATGGGTTTGAGCCCCATGTCAGGCTCCGTGGTGACAATGCAGAGCCTGCTTGGGATTCTCTCTTTTGGCCTCTCTCTCTACGCCTCCCCTGCTCATGCTTTCTTAAGAATGGAGAGATAGATAGTTGGTAGGTAGGTAGGTAGGTAGGTAGAAAAAAAGAAAGAAAGAAGGAAGGAA